GTTGGAAAGGGAGCTGGAGGCGATTCAGAAGAAGGAGGCAGATGCTAGCCGTGTTCTTGTTCTGGAGAATCTACTGGACGATGCAAATCGCATGAAGGCGCGCTATGAGGCTGACTATCTTGCTGCGCATAGGGAAAAGCTGGTGTTGCAGAATGATCTCGAGGAGATCCGCAGTGGGAAGTCGATGGGAGATGGGTAGGTCGTTCGAGTCTTATTCCATTGCAACAGAACTCATGGTTTGATTTTTATAATAGACCAGAAGCTGCTATTGCCTTGCGCCAGAGACTCAATGAGACGGTGGATCAACTTGATGCTCTTCGTAAAGAGCATACAGAGCTAGACGTCAAGTTCCAATCTCAAAGTAAGGAGCTCATCATTGCAAAGTCGGATCGTACGTTTTCCATTCTAAGCAGTATGTACGTATTCTCACCTTGAATGTGACAGTCAACCTTGTACACAAGGATCAGCTTGAAATTCTTGCTACGCTCAGAGAGTCCGTAAACGAGGACAAAGCCGGGCTCGAGACCGAGGTCCAGCGTCTGCATGAGCAAATACGAGAACTTTCAGACAAAAACAAGATGCAACTTGAGCAGATTAATGGGTTGCTCTTTGAAAAGGTTACCATGCAGAGTGAGGGCATCGATCAGAGAGATCGCATGTTGCAACGTGAGCGAGACATCGGGTATGATAGCCTTCATTTGCTTGAGAAGTGCCAACCTTTCTCACCCGTTTCATAGTGATCTTCGTGCATCATTGTCGGGCAAGGATATACCGGAGGACATCAAAGCACGTCTGCTTAAACTACACGAAGACAACATCCAACTTCAAGAGCAGCTCAAGACTGCTTCAGAGAAGCTCGTCAAAGCACGGCAGGTAAGCGCAGCGCTACTATTGTGCACATTTTGTATCGCTCAACTACGGCACATCTTAGTTCATCAAACAGCAAGACAAGTTGTTCAAGGAGGAACAGGCAAAGAAAGGTATCTCGTCTGTGAGTAGTTTGGTTAATTACTGGCGATCCGTTTGTCATATTCCCTATCGTAGGCCGGCTTCGAAGATGCAGAAGGAGTATCCCGGTCACAGGTGAAGATCCTCGAAGACGAGATTGCACGCAAAGAGGTTTGTTGTTCTATTCGTCACTAGAAGCCTTGTTGTTGAATCTAACCACTTGTCCAGCGTCTCATGTCGGACATGACGAAGCGTTACCAGAGGGAGCAAGCGCTAATGATGAGCATTATCCATGGATACGGCATGTCGCTTGTGCGGAACCAGCTAGGGAAACAAAGTTCTCGACCAAATCCTTCAAGTTGGCTTGGACAGCAACGGAAGAGCGTGAGTGATGGGTTGTCGTTTCATCAATAATACTGGATAGACAGCTGATGAACTCGCGTAGCTTGGACAAACTTTACGGCGATGAAGGTTTGAAGCCGGGTGTTTCAGAACCCCTGCATCGTACTCCGCTCCGTCGGTTGATGAGTTTCTTGCCCTGCTGCTCATATCTTCAGCGATCATACATACCCGTATTTCTTCCTAACATTTATGTAGATGAATTGGATACCCTCTATACCGGTTTGTTACGTCACCTCTACCAACCTCTTGGTGGCAAATGGAAGCTACGTATTCAAACACACTTGTATTATATTTAACTCCATTACAAGATATATTACACGTATTCTTCGCGGCAAGTATGAGCATAAATACGTCAGTAATGCCATCAACCCAATTGGGACTAATAGTCGGCAACGATAAATCGCTGACCCTCTGGTTTGTGGATGGAGAGTAGTTGATTGACGACGAACTCTCCAGGGGAGAACGAACCGTATCCCGAGGAGCCTCTAAAAAGAATAGCAACAAGGATGAACATAGGAATGTAGGGATTTTCAAGTGATGGCAACGTACCCAAGGGCCGCCTGAGAAAACCTCGACTCGCTCATGAGGGTAGTCGAGTTGACGATTACCTTGCCCGCGCGGATTCGGGGTGAGAGGGTGAACGCGAGGTCGTAGCTTTCTGTCCAGAGGGACGAGGTGAGTGAATATGTGGATGAGTTGGCCAAATTGACGGCTTGGTCGATTGTGTCGACAATGGCGACGGTGAACACTGCAGATGCCGAGGGTTTGAGCGATGTGAGAAATTAACGACGTGACCAAGGGGGTTTACACTTACCAGGGCCGAAGCTCTCTCTGTCCCAGAGTCTAGTTCCGGGTTTCGCTCCCAAGACGATGTGGGGTTGTACGAGAGGACCATCATACTTCAAGTCACCGTGTAAGAGCTCCGCACCGCTGGCGATCGCCTCCTTGACCATACTAATGATATTCTGCGCAGAGCCAACGCTGAACACACACCCTAGCTGCGCTCTCGGGTCTTGAGACTGATCGGATGCTTTGATTTTGGAAGCGAGAGATTTTATTTTCTCGATGAACTGTACGGAGGCGCCGCGTTGGACGATGACGCGTTCTGTGCCGATGCATGCTTGGCCGCTGTGGACAAAGGCACCGGAGATGATCCCCCGAGCGGCAGCGTCGATGTTGGCGTCGTTGAGTACCTGAAGTTGTGGTGCGGAGTGATGAGTATGGCGAAACGACTTGGATGCGGTGGACTTACGATGGCGGGTGCTTTGCCTCCAAGTTCTAGGACGCATGGTTTGAGGTGTTTGGCGGCTTCGCCTGCGATGATCTTGCCTACACGTTCACTCCCGGTAAACTGAGTACCATTAAATGAGAGCGCGCGAAAGTACGATGGAAGAACGACTTACGCCTATTTTACGGACGAGAGGGTGGGCAATAATCTCTGCGACTCGTGAGGGTGAATCTTCAGGAGATGTGTGGATGACATTGAACACTCCATCAGGTAAACCCGCCTATGCAAATGTGTCGGTATAGCATAACACTAGTAGTCGAGGGAAGAGATTGCCTACCTCCTTGAGGATGTCTGCAACGATGAGCTGACTTGCAGGGCTGCACTCTGACGTTTTGAGGACGACGGTGTTGCCAGCTGCAATGGCAGGGAGGCATGAAAGCAGTGTCAAAGTCACCGGGGCGTTCCAGGGAGAAATAATAAAACTAGGGTCGATGTCAATGACAATAATCGTTTCAAGAACGATGCAGGCTTACATGACTCCATAAGGTACCTTTTGCACTATGGAAGCGAGAGCACCGCTGTTGGAAGGTAATACTTCTCCACGCAAGGAGTAAACGGTGTCACAAGCCTCGGAGAAGGCCGAATCGACGTAGTAGTTGAGGATATCAGCCCACGGTTTGGAGACGCCAGTTTCTTGGTGAGCTGTTTCTGTGATCTTCGCTCGCAAATCCGGGTTAGAGAAGACAGTGATGGCCCTGCGGAAGATCGTCTCCTTGGCAATTGGAGGGAGTGTGCGCCATGAGTCGAAAGCAGCCTGAGCCACTTCTATTGCTGCTTTGCTGGAGAGTTGGGTGAGCAATTGTGATTTGCGTCGGTGGATATACTCACGCGTCGGAGGAGGAGGCAGAGACGACGTGCGAGAGCACTTTGCCGGTAGGACTCCGGACTTGATATGTCGAGGAGTTGTTGGGGACGGTCTTTTGACCTTTGATGAAAAGCGGGACGATGGGGAGCTGGGTGACAGTCATCGTTTTGAGAGACTGCGGAAGTGGGTACCAAGTAATGTATACCAGTCCTGGAGCTCGAGGGATTATATATGCGGGCGGCATGCGAATGGTACGCATCAGGTGGCAATTTGAAGCAGTGTCGAGATTCAGGGCCCGTGCTAGCCTGCCCCATCCATGATAGCCTAGCGACAGTTAATCGGGACGCGGCGAAGAGGGTGTTTTTGATCCTCAAGCTTCGTGCTTCAAGCTCCAGCTTCAGGCCGTCCTTGTCAGCATTGGAATCCCGGACAATCGGGTATTGCAGTCATACTAATAGTAACATCTACGATTTGCAGGCGTCGTTAAAGACACATGAGACATTTTTTTTGTCAAAGATACGGCATGGGTGACACTCACCTTTCCTTCAAATCGGAGCGATGACAGGGCTATGTTTGTTTTCGAGAGCGGCTCGCTGACCGTGACCAATTCTCAAGGCGAGATATGGGTTCAGCCTGTGGGGTGCTATCTGGACCTGGGATAGGAATCGTGTTCTTCGCCGAGGCTACAACGCTCACGGTGCCGCCACAATTACGTGGTTGGCAGTCAGCTGGCCTAGAGATCAAACGGTACGTCCACAAAATCAATGAGGAGTCGGTTGTAGCCAGATATCGGCAAGATTTGGTACAGTCCATGGAGCTTGGTGGGATGACTGCTTCGCGCTATAACCTACGCGACAGAGGACGAGTCTGCGCGTGTCTCACAGCATGTTTGCATACTCCTAGGTAGATATCAATATGTCAGCCTTTGACTACAACTCCACCGACGCCTGGAGGTACCTGAGTGGTACTTGGCGACCCGTATCGTCGGACAACCCGTCCCAGTAGTGTGGGATGTTCGGTATAAAGAATCTGCCAATGTCACATTCACACAACAAGGTTGAAGTACGACAGTTGGCAAGAGTGATAGTCTGGGTACTAGTCGGACCCCCTGGTAATTGAGCCTATGCCAAATCAGTGACCTTTCCCCAGGAGCAGGATGAGAACTTACGACGACCGCGTATTCTACTACCCATACCTGGTCGTATTGACCACATGGGAGATAAATACGCTCTGCCGTGAGCGCGATGTACGTCGCAAGCTTGACAGACGGCAGCCGACCAGCATCGAGTGCAGTGCTTCTCCGAGAGCAATGGAGCTGATTACAGTCACGACTTTTGCCGCAGATACATACGTACTTAGTCACTGATATTGAAGGTCACGTCGATCCACCACCGTGGAGACTTCAGTCAAATCGTTGACATTGCAGTCTTCCCGAGGCAAACAAGTGACACTGGCACAGGTACAGTACAGTACAAGGGGCATGGAGTTTAAAAACTTGCGCTGAAATATGCACGCCATTTAACGATATATGTAGTGTAAATTGAATTACACTTACATGGCCGACTAGCTCAGTTGGTTAGAGCGTGGTGCTAATATGTAAGTGTACTCTTACGTAATCACGCCAAGGTCGTCGGTTCGATCCCGGCGTTGGCCAATCTTTTGCATCCTCCTCATTTTATCCCATTAAAATCAGAATCACAAGCGAAACACGCTCCAAAATTTCTCTCGAGTTTCGTGAATGACGAGGCAGGCGTTGTGCTATTTGGCACTCACTTTCTAGTCGCGGTCCGATTGTGCCGCCGACTCTACTCTAGAGTCCAAGTTGGGCCTTAGCTCGAGTGGACCATAGTGTTAACACTCAAGTACTCGACACCGGTACACTCTGAAATTCGTTGCAATGTCTGTACCATTATCTCAATTGGTAGATGAATGGCTTAGATTAGACAAAGTAAGTACGAATTTAAAAACAATCCTTTTCAGTCATGATCCTCATACTTGATTAGAACGACGCAACGAGGACAGAGATTAAAGACCTCGTCTCACAGAACAACACCGATGAATTGGAAAAGCGATTGTGGTAGATTGTTTAATCGCTCGCTCATGTTGTATACCATACTGATATTATTTGACCCATAGTAAACGGATTGAATTTGGGACAGCTGGTATACCGCGGCCGTTTAAGTCGAGATCGAGGTCAACATGCTGACCAGCACAACCGACAGGTCTGCGAGGCAGGATGGAGGCCGGCTGGTCTCGAATGAATGACTTGATCGTCATACAGGCATCCCAAGTTGATTGTTTTTTCTGAGATACTGGTATCATCGCTGACAGCCATGGCAGGGACTCTGCGCATACGTATTGCAACACGTCAAAGACGCAGCCTCTCGAGGGATAGTCATCGGACACGATCACCGACACCATTCTGAACGATGGGCACAACTCACAGCTGCAGCGTTCGTGGCGAATAGCGTGAAGGTTTACCTCTACAACGGTCTCGTCCACACTCCGATGTAAGTTGACATCTGTTGTCGAGTCTTGCGCTTCAAACTAATCCTTTTATCAGGGTCCCGTTCGGTGTAAAATATCTCAAGGCCGCGTGTGGTGTTATGATTACTGGTAGACCTTCAATATCTCTGATCGCATACGATCGTCTCATGCAGTCTTTCCAGCTAGCCACAATCCCAAGGTGTGACAATTACATATTTTATTCGAAAAATACTAACATCAATGCCTCTTGAAAGCAAGATAATGGATACAAGGTTCGCCCAATTTTCTCGTAAAAGACACCTGAGTAGCTGAATTCTCGATGCTCAGGTCTACTGGGAAAACGCCGTCCAGATTATATCACCTCATGATACGGGGATTGCAGCTTCGATTCAAGAAAATCTCCACCCACGAACATGGGACGTCAGCACCCTGGCAGGATCACCGCTCTGTGTCGATCGCACAAAGGATCTGGTAGATGCTTATTTTGCTCAGCTGTCGACTTTACAATTTGTGTGGTGCGTGTAAATTTTGTGAAAGCAAAGTATGAGCGAATCTGACTTGCTTGCTTTCAGCATACCCAGTACAAAAGCACCGCTTAAATTCGTCAATACCTCGATGCATGGTGTAAGCAACGCATTCATGGAGAGAGCGTTCAAAACGTTTGGTTTCGCTCCTTTTATCGCCGTAAAGGAACAACAGCGTCCAGATCCTGAATTTCCTACTGTCAAGTTTCCGAATCCAGAGGAGAAAGGTGAGCACATAGTCTCTATCCCCTTGTGCTGTATCTAACAGTCTTGTAGGTGCTCTAGTATGTCACAACTATGATTCTTCGTTGAGGAACGGGGGAATAACCCTGCATATAGGACCTAGCACTCGCTACAGCTGACAAGGTCGAAGCAAAGTACGTCCTCGCTCAGGATCCTGACTCTGACAGGTTCACAGCCGCCGAAAGAGGGTCAGTCATACTTACTCTACTATTGCCTCGTAAAATTAACTTACATACTGATTAACAGATCAGATGGAAAGTGGATCAGTTTCACGGGAGATCAGTTGGGTGCTTTATTCGCCAGTGCTGTTTTACATGAATACAAGACGGCTGGGAAACCTCTGAGTGGGTGATAAATTTCTAGGAGACAACGATATTTTGACCTTTTTTTGTTATTGTAGACAAGCTGGCAATGGTTGCATCCACTGTTAGTTCCAAGATGGTCGAAGCTATGGCTGCACATGAAGGGTTCAAGTTTGTCGAGTGTCTTACAGGTATATCCCGGATTTCGCGGTGCAAGTAATTTGCTGACCAACGCCGTAACACTAGGGTTCAAGTTCATCGGTAACACCGCATTGAACCTTGTTGATGAAGGTTACGAGGTGCCTTTTGGGTATGAAGAAGCGATTGGGTACATGTTTGGCTCAGAAATCCGTGACAAAGACGGTGTAGCGGCCAGCGTATGTTTATCAACTAATCTTTATTTGGCATTAATTGACGTAGATGGTATATGATTGCAGATGGTGTTCGTCCAACTGGTCACTGCGTTGCATGAACAGGATAAGACAGCGAGCGAGCACCTCCAGAAGTTGTATGAACGGTGAGCTTGATCGTCGTACCAAAGGAGGGGTCTTTTTCGTTCTAATGATATTACAGTTATGGATTCTTCCAGGTGGAGCTATTATATTGTCGTACAAACACTCGCGAACTGACATCGTACAGACCAGCAATAGCTATTTTATTTGCACAGACCCTCGGCTCATAGACAGCATCTTTGCTCGTATTCGCAATTACGACGGCAAGGTCAGCATCTTTCCCACAATTTATAGAACTTATTCTCACAAATGCACTATAGGCCACACAATCAACTCCCAGTTACCCACATACCATCGGCGGATTGAAAATCACTAGCGTACGAGATCTTACTGTCGGCTACGATAGCACCAACCCGCCCACGTTCAAGCCGACTCTCCCACTATCCTCTGGCCACATGATACAATTCAGAGCGGAGTCCCCGGTAGACGGTACGAAGATTACTTTAACGACGAGGCGAGTGTACACTCGGAAGGTTATACACCCTATGGAATGCCTTTACTAATAGATTGGTTTAGAACAAGCGGCACAGAACCCAAGGTACGCATTTTTGACACAGTCGCCACAGTGTTTATGGAATGTGGTAGGTATGGTTGCTGACTGATGTCTCGTTTTTGCCGTTAGATAAAGTACTATCTAGAAGGCAGCGGCAAAGACGCAAAAGCAGTGAAGGATGTCTTGCAGCGCGTGATAGTCGAGTTGGGTACGGAATGGATGCAGACTGAGAAGAATAACCTCGGCGTACCTTGAGTTTAGCGGATGGTAAACTTGTCGGCATCTAATGGTCTGAATAGAATGTATAGCAGGATGTGTGCCACACGGTAGCAATTTTTTGGAACTCATGTTGAGCATGTTAAATTTTTTTACACAAGTCGTGCCTTTCGACGCTCGTCAAGTGCCTTGGCACGTTCCCAAGTATCAATGGATAGCTCTATCTCGTGTAAAGAAAGAGCGTACAACCTAATTGTCAAATCGATAGTCAGTTCGGACCTTCAAACTCGGTGATAATGTACCACTTACTTCGCAATAGTCATCCTTCGAATGAGATCGTCTGAAGTAATGGCGGGATTTTGCCGTCTATCATTCACAAAGTCCTGTTGGATGTGCTGTAACGCGCATGTAAAATTTACAATGTAAACTCAGGAGTGATGAATGCTTGAACTTATCGTACGTACTTGAGAAGTAGCTTCGGTTACTTGGACTTTCCCAGCTCGAGAGCCCACAACAAGGTCACGGAATGCTTCCAACTCCTTGACATCAGGGAGCAATATATCGGAAGCTGGCTTATACAAGGTAGACAACGATTCGGGGTCGAACTTTAGCGGTATGACGATATCTGTCTAGATGAGAATTCATTTGAGTATACCTGACATATCAATTTATGAAGCGAGCCGACCTTGAAGAAGGCACTCTTCTTTCCTTCAGTGAGAACAATACAGGTAATATCGGTTGGGAACGAAAATTGACTGAATAGGAACCGGTAGGCCAGTGTCTGCGAATTCATCACTTCTTGTAGGGTACCGATATTGACCAGCCCTGCACGACATCCGATCGGTTAGCGATTGAATGAGTATGACAATTTACTAATAGATTCTACCTTGTTCGACAAGCTTTCCCTCTTGGACACCATGCTCTGTGATAAGAAGGACGGATCCTTGTGGGATTTGAAGAGCTCCGGAGTGTAGGTCTTCCTCTTTGCTCTCTGGTGCAAAACGCGTTTTGTTCAAGAAGTCGAGGGATAAAGGGAGAGTACGAGCCAGAGGTAGTAGAGCCGATAAAACATCCGATAGTGATGGTATCGCAGCAGGAGGAGATAAACTTTCGGTAGTGGGTGGGGGCGGGAAGTGAGAAATAGTCAATGTTGGAGGAAGAAGGGGCGGATGGCGAGATTGTCTAAAGAGTCTAAGATTATTAATAGGTTCAGCCTCATACTTCAGGTACTTACACACGAGCTATGATTGTAAGTAAAACCCACTCTGCGGCTTCTACATCGCCGCCGAGTGATTGATCTGCAATCCATTTAATCAAGCGTTCCCTTGTTTTGATGGCCGTCGACTCTTCACTGCGTGTGACGAACGGGTAGGCCCTGGTAATGGCTGAATGCGGGTGATGTCGAGCGAAAAAGACATGGAGAGTAGGGACATCCAGTTCGTGGTCTCCGTCACTGTGCAATCTGGCAGAGAGGCGTAAGGATAGAGGGTGCGAATAGCATGAGATAAACTGACGGCTCATTGGTCAGAATTCCTACGAAAGTGACCACCTCTGTGGGTTTGAAATGTTCGGCGACGGCTGTATCGTACATCTGTATCATGCGTCAGTGATGGCACACATAGTTGTGATAGAGTATACCTTGATTTGTACACCGATATGTCTGCCATCAGAGTCCGGGTGTTTATGTGAGCGAAGGGGTTTGTGGATGGATTGGGACGCTGAACACGGACTTTTTTTAATGCACTGAGTAAATTTAAGCCATTTTACCCACGGGTAATGGATCCGTCCAGTTCTATCCCACACCACGTAGACTCTCCAGGGACACTGACTGCCCATAGAATGTTACATTCTCTTAGTTCGTTGTAGTCGATATCTAT